GGGCGGGTCAGGAGAGGTCTGCCACGCCATGTGGTCACCTCCGGGGCAGGTGGGAATCAAACTCATGCAGAAGTGGCTTTAGCTTCTCAGTGCTGTGCTTTAACCTGCTGTGCCACAAGGGAGAGCCGACCACATATATTTTTAACTTTGCCTCCATTTTTCTTCTACTAGTTATCTTATAATTTTGGTTATATCAATATTAGATTTTTATGTGATTATGACTGGATAAATGTTATTGTTGGTTAAGTGAGAAAGTATGACTTGTTTTTCTCTAGAGTTACAATTCTCTCTCTGTTTAGTTTCTAAGTTCTTTACTTTAATTCATCCTAAACTTATCTCCAGTTGTATAAATCTCTTGATATGTTTGAGCACATTTGGCACCATATCGATTTTATTTTTTTCTGAGAGCCTTCTGATCTGCCCTGTTTTCGATGAGTTGTTTTGTAGACTTGCTGTGTGTGTAAGGATTCTCTGTTCCTATCAGGAGTTGAATTCTTTAGTTTCTGGAATTTGTCATCATTTTTCATGGTTTCCCTCCTTTGTTTTCAACGAGCACTTCTAAGGTAACTTCTGGAGAAATGTTATAGGAAGCAAATATTCTGAGAAGTAAAATTATTTCATATTTTGCTTATTTAAAAATGCTTTTATTTATATAGTCATACTTAATTTGTAGTTTTTCTTTCAAAGCCATAGGTTTTATCTAATTGTTTTAAAGCTACTAGTTTTTCCTTTTAAAAAGGGTGGGTGATATTCTGACTCCAGATTATTTTTATAAAACCAGTTTCCTCTTAGGCAACTTTTAGGATTTTATTTTTGTCTCAGTATTCAGAAATCTCATTAAAATATTTATGCCTTCATTTAGGTCTATTTCATCATTTTTGCTGAAAACTCATTGTGACTTCTCAGTTTAGAAATTGTTTTTTTTTTTCAGTTGTGGATATTTTTCTTGAGTTACCTTTACATTTCTTATGTATTTTCTGTTCTCTGGAACTCATTCATGTTTTGAACCTTCTATATTCTAATTTCATTATTTTTTTAAGATTTATTTAGTTACACGTACAAGAACTGGGGTACAGGCCAGAGGTGCAGGGAGTGAGAGGATTCAACAGAGACAGAGTGGGGAGCAGCAGGCATGACAGGAGAGATCTGCCATGTGGGTCAGTTCCCTAGGCAGGGATTGAACTCATGCTGCAGTGGCTGCAAACATCCTCATAGTGCCACCAGGGAGGGCCCTATATTCTAATTTAAAAAAATCTTTTCCGCTTTTCATTTATCTTTTTATTTTTTATCCTGTCATTTCCCTATCTTTATTTCTCTTAAAGAAGTAAAGAACCTGGCATGTAATAAGTGCTTGTGTTAGCTGTTAACTGTTCTTGTGTAGTTTCTACAACTAATTATTCTGAAGGAGAAGTCTTTGGTCTTGATTCTTCTACTTAATGCCTTAGACAAATTCTGTAATTTCTTTGCTTCATACTTCTCTCATCTATAAATTGTTCTACCTCCTAGGTGTTTGAGAGGCTCAAATTATAGTGTATAGGGGGACATGCTTAATAAACTTTCTACAAAGCTAATAGTTGCTGCTTCCATCTTTCAATTAGTAAAAGCTTTTAATTTGAGAGAAAATAATGACTGAATTTTCAGGGTTAATATAAAGATTATTTGATTGCCTGTGGTTTCTCATGTATCTGTAATAGCTAAGTAAACTTGTAAAATACTAATGCTGCCTTTTAAAGTAGTTATTTCTTAACACTTTTATTATTTAGACTGAAGAGAGATTATGAAAATATCCTATTAAAAACTCTAGCTTTACTTCAGATTGTATAAATCTGTGTAATGTAATAATTATTAGAGAATAACCTGATCACTAATTTAAACCCATGGAGGGCATATTCTTTGTAGTTTGTTTTTCTTAAATGGCATTGGAGATTAGGAAAAACAGTATTTGCCTTTTGGGTTTTCCTCAATAGTATTAATGTAATTTCAAATGTTAGTTCATTTTTGTTAATGGTGGCTTTTTGTTTGTTTGTTTTGTTTTAAGGTTTTTGGATTCAAAGCATAAAAACCATTACAAGATATACAATCTGTAAGTATGTTTCCTTACTTGTATGCTTGCAAATGACTTTCTAAAATAACTATTAAGTGAAAGTTATTTCCTTGTTTAAATAAGGTAGAATTGAAGGTATATTTTGACAGTTATATTCATAAAAGTTATTTCAAGAAATCTGATTGAGAGCATTGTTAGGTCATTTACAAAGTGTAGCAATGAGGTAAAAAAAAAATGCTGGCACGTATTCCATGTTACTTGATCTTCTTTAAATGATTTGACATCTAGCCCAGCTTTGAGCCCATTACCATTTGGTAACTGAAGTTAATTCACAGTGGAGCTTCTTTAAAAGCATTAATGATACCTTTCATGGAGGTATACTCCAGAGTGGATATAATGTCTGTTTTGTCTTTTGATCAATTGATTAAAAAGCCAATAGTGTATTCTCAAACTGTGTATAGCATAAATATGATACCTAAAATTGTTGAATTTTGTTGAATTGGGTAGTTCCTTTGTTTGGGCAATATTCAGGATTGCCCACTTGATTCAGCTTGCTGACTTTACCTTTTAGCATTTGTTTTTTTCTTTTGATTTTATGAGTAGAGATGTGAAGAGGAATAAAGAAAAATGGGAGAAAGTAGTTTACATTTTTATCCTTAAAGACCTTTTTTTCACTAATAAGCAAGCCTTTATTTACTTTTCACATGCTAGCCATTATAAATCATGTTGGGCGTACAGAGGTGAATAAGAGCTAGTTCCCATTCTCAGGTAACTTACAGTCTAATGTGAAGCTAGACAAAATATGGAAGATATAATCGTTGCCTAGAAGAGAGCTTTGTAGAAAGCAATAGGACTAGTAATTGTTCTTTGTAAGGAAGGTATTATTAAGAAAGGAACATTTGACCTGGAATAAAAAGACACAATAGAGGTTGACCTGCAATCTCTATTATGGTCAAGGGGAAATGGCCTTACAGTCCAAGAGAATAGCATGTGTATATACTAGTTTGTTGCCAACATAATGTTTAGAATATGGCAGATAATCCATTATGGTCAGATTAAGTGTGTGAATGTGTGTGCAATTGGTAAAGAGGTGAAATAAAGTAAAAGGAACTATAGAAACTTAAGTTTATGTGGGACCTAGCTTACAAATGATCTGTGCTTATAGCTTCCTCTTTTCTTGATTAACCTCTTCTACAATTAAGCCTGTTGTAGATGCGTAGTATTCCTGTGAAGGAAAATAAAAAACTACAAGGCTTGTGCCTTTTGAACAGTTGAATTTAGCAGTTAAGAAAAGGACAATAATTGTCAGAAGCTAGAAACCATTAAGTGAGTCACTGTAGGCTTAGACTTTTAGGGTTGGGTATATAGAGTACTAAAAAAAGAAGTTGAAAGATAATAAAGACAAATTCTGCCTTTTTCAAAATTTTAATCGAATTTAACATTCTAGCCAAAAAAAGGGGAGGGAAATTATTTTCATTTCTGTATGCAGTAGCTTTTTGTTTCTAGAATTTAGGACCTAGGCCTGTACTGTCAGTATTGTGGGTTGCTTAACATTTATTATGGTAAAGGTTGACATTGGGATCTAGCCTAGACATTTGACTGCCTGTTTTTTATAATTGCAGACATCAGATTCCCAAGTTAGTAAAGTCCTATTATTAGTTGAAAATAGTTTTTTGTGTCTATATTTTAACCTCATTCCATTTAATGGAGTCATAAACTTTCAGAAATAAAAAATTCCTGAAAGAAATCATTTAGTCCAACCTTCTCATTTTACAGAGAGGGAATCTGAGGCCTAGAGAAGTTAAATGAGTTGAACAAGGTCACACAGGTAGATATGGTAGTAAACCACCCACTGTTTATGCTTGTATTCCCTTCTAGTTTTGTTTTAATCTCCTCAAATTACACTTACTTCAGAAGTTTTTAGAGCTACCAAATGGTAGCATGTTTTGATTTCTGATGTCCTTTCTTAATTTGTTCATCTTTTTTCCTACCCATTTATTCTTCTCACTCTGGATTAGTGAGTCTGGCAATTAGCAGATATTTTTATTTTATTTTTAACATTAATTATATATAATGTACATCTTTGCAAATAAATTGCAAGGTATTTCAGTATTTGTATTAGATATACTTGTATTTAATGCTGTATTAAACTTCTTATGAAAATTATGGAAAAATTTTCATTGTGGACTTTTAACATAATTGGCAGTATTTCTATCTGTGTTTTTGTTGGTCATTCAATAAGTTATTTTAAGAAAGGGCAAAGTAGGCTCATATTAACCAAATTTGGGTATACACATGCACAAATGAATCAGTCTTGTGCAAGAGCATACGTTTCATTTTTGTATGGTCCTCTATATAATCTGTATGGTAAAGAAGAAGGGTAAGTTAGGGAAAAAGCAAAATATAGTTCTTTGACAAACTTAAATGTTCACTGAATGTTGATTTTTATAAGGTTTACTGAAACTTAGTGTATACACTGACATACAATTCTCCATTACTATGTAAACCTTTAGCTGTTGTTAATGTTTGTCAAGTTTTCTTTTATAAGATACAGATGACATCATTGAAGAGAGTAAGATTTAAGCATGCCTAGCAGATTATATGCTAAGTTTCACTTGGGTAACTTTATGTGTTAATCTATTTCTTCACTTTCTGTCTACTGCCTCTTAAAATCTCCCTCTTCACTGCTTTTTCATTTCTCTTACAAATCAGTATGAGGTTATGATAGAAAATGGTATCTTTTAAGTTTTAGTCATACAAGTATAAATGGTTAGATATACTTGACACTTGTCTTAGTCAAATCCTATTTGCCATTTGTATATTTTCAGTATTGGTTTGCTGAGAACCTTAGCAAATGTCTTATCACTGACATGCTGCCAAAAAAAAAAAATGTACAAAAACACTGTATATGTGTATATGCACATTTGTAAGCAAAGTTATCAGAGGTTTTAATTAAGAAGAGAATTTTGATTTTTACCCTACTAGCTCTTTCCCAGGTCACTTTAATTACTACTAGTTCCAGCAGAGGGTTATACACACTCACTATAGATACCTGATACCTGTAGAGATTTTTATGGTATTTTCTTGTTTTACATTATCATATTGGTTTTGTCTTTTGTGCTAAATATTGTATTAGTAGGAAGACTGACTTTATTATTGCTTGTGTTTGTAAAACTTTTCTAGCTTTTGGAAAAGTTTAGCTTTTGTTATGAGAGATACTGACTTGAGTCCTGGCTCTCTAGCACATACAGACTGTGGTTTGGGGCAAATTTTATATACTCTTTTGATTCTTGGCTTTCGTGTGTGTGTGTGTGTGTGTGTGTGTGTGTAGATATAGATCTATGTGTATTTACATACACATAAAATAGTGGTAAAATTAACTGCTATCATGGTTATGAGAGTGAATCAGTTTAGAAAGTAAGTTGTAAGCATCGTTTGTCATTTCAAAAGTTTTAAGTTTCTGGTAAAGCATAGAAATTTTAGAGAGCTAAAGCTGCTGGAAAAGCAAAATAATTATTTTTTGTTGTATTGTCATGAACCAGCTTCCTTCCTTTGTTTGTTTTTTTTTTTTCCTTAGAAAATATTTATTTGTTTACGCATGCAAGAACTGGGGGACAGGCTAGAGGTTTGGCGAGGGTGAGAGGATTCACCAGATACGGGGTGAGGAGCAGAAAAGGCCGATGTACTGAATGAAGTACACTGCTGAGGGGAACAGCAGGTCAGGAGAGGTCTGCCATGCCATGTTGGTCACCTCCCTGGTGGGGATGGAGCTCTTGCTGCAGTGGTTGCAGATAGCTTCATAGTGCTGTGCTTTAAACCCTTGCACCATCAAGGAGGGCCTTCAGACCTTTATATGATTAATGATAAAATACTCAAGTTTGGATTTTTTGTTATTGATCATAGCAAATTTTAGCAGAAAAAGTTAAAAATGTGGCTGTTGTCTTCCTTTTAATTAAAGTAATGTTAGTTTACCATTCGGTATGAGTTTCAGGCTTATAATTTCTCACTTAAGCAGATAGGCATAACACATCATGCCTACCACAAAATGTCCAGTCTCCACCCACTACCACCCTTCCACTTTTCCCTCCCCCCCATCCACCTCTGGTAACCACCATTCTGTTGTCACAGTGTGTGGCTATTTTGTTACTCAGTGCTCTGTCTTCCTACCTTTCAGTTTCAAAAATATATGTATGAAATTATTTATTAAAGATGAATTCATGTGCTTATATTATTTTCTTCTAGCAAGATGAAATATATTGAATAAACTAAAATGGAGGTTTGTTTTGAGCAGCAATATGGAAGTTGATTATTTTGTATCACCACTTAGAAACCAGTGGATTGGAGTTTGTTTATAGTTAATTAAATCTTCGTGTAGATTTTGTTTTAAAAACTTTTTAAAACAGAAGAACTGTAGTTTTTTTTTACTTTAAAAAAGATGATTTATGCACACAGAACTGGGGTACAGAATAGAGGAGCAAGGATAGTGAGAGGATTCACCAAAGAAAGTAGGGAGCGGAACAGGCAGATCTACTATAACATTGCTGAGGGGAGCAGCTGGCAGGACAGGAGAGGTCTGCTGTGCCATGTGGGTCACTAGGTGACCTCCCTGGCGGGGGATTGCACTCAGGCTGGAGTGTATGCAGTACTAGCTTCACAGTGCTGCACTTTAACCTGTTGGGCCATCAGGGAGGCCCCTGAACTATAGATATTTCCAAGATTTGTAAATACTTAATACAGGTATATAGTTATTTATTTGAAAATCTTGGGGGCCAGTTGCATTTTATTATTTAGAGTTTTTAATTTTTCAGAAAACTGAAACGGAAGCTTATGCTTTTGTATTATATAACTCCCTAGTTGGGTTTATTTTTTAAAAAAGATTTCTTTATTTTATGCATACAAGAACTGGGGTGCAGGCCAGAGGTGTGGGGTGTAAGGATTCACCAGAGACATTGTAGGGGAACAGGCAAATGTACTGGTATACTGTTGAGGGGAGCAGCAGGTGAGGTCGGAGAGGCCCCCTGCACCATGTTGGTCATCTCCCTGGCTGGGGATCAAATTCCTGCTACAGTGGCTAGAGATAACTTCATAGTGTTGCTCTTTAATCTCTTGTACCACCAGGAAGGCACCCTCATTGAGCTTAGACCAGTAACCTAGAATGAATATTTGACTCCTTACTTGAAGTGTATTAAGGGCTAAATACAATCTGATAAGCTCAAAACAGGTTTGCTGTAAATTTAGGAAAACTTTAAGATGTTTCAGACTTTGGGATTTTGGAATTGCTGACTAAGGAGCTATAGAGCTTTATTTGGTTTTTAAAAAATGTTAAATTTTTTATATTATAAGTTTAGTATCATTTAGCTAAGAGTTACCAGGATGCTGCTTACCACAAACTAATGTATAAAATCTCTCTCAGAGCCTATGAGTGTTTATAAACATGACCTATTAATTATGAGTAAGCCAGTGTATGATAACAAATGGTCATTACTATTAAAAAAAAAAACCTTTGGTATGTTTTCAGTAATGCTAAGCTGACACTTTACTGTTCTATATTGATTTTATTTAATATTCTTTCATTACTGTCAGGCTTTAATTAAAACTTGTAACCTTAGAGATTAAAAAGAATGACCTTTGACTTACCTAAAAAAAGGTTTGATTTTAAACATTTTGTTAAGTTAGTGTCTTAGTTGATTAACATCATTAAATTTCTTTACTTTTCCTTTGCTTTGTGATTTTACCATTTTGAAAACGTATTTAAATAATAGTTTAAATAAGTTTGTATATGTTCAAGCATGAGTAATATACTGTAACTAGTTAGCTTTTTATACATATTTGTGAAATCACAAGCAATTTCCATTAGCTTACAAAATTTCCTTATAGGAAATTCAAAGGTGAATTTTCAATGCTATATATTTGTGGCGCCACAAGTTTTGTCAACAAATATATAAGCTTTGATTGTAACCTTTGAAGTCTTGGTTTCCTTAATTGTAAAATAGAGGTACTAACAGTACCCGCTTCATAAGATTGGTAAGATTAAAAGAAATATTTAACTTAAAACACTTAGTATTTAACTTAAAACACTTAGTATAAGTGTTGTAAAGGTTCAAAAAAGATTGTTACTATTCTATTTTTTTCTCAAGTGCAAAAGATGACTTTTTATTACATTTAAACTTTTCTTTTAGATGTGCTGAAAGACATTATGATACCGCCAAATTTAACTGCAGAGGTAGGTATAAATTTACTTTTTAGTGTAATTTAAAATCAGTAGACTAAATCTTACTGTATAGTGTATATTCAGTGAGTATAGTAAGTAGAATAACAATGAACAATCTAGATTATTCAATGAGATAAGTATCTTAAAGATCTTAGAAAAATTTGAAAATAAATTTTGCTATTGTGTTTTAGGAAACAAGTATCACATAAAATTGACCGGTATGACCGGTACTAGGAAGACTAAATCACAGAATAGACTAAGAATTAGGTGAAATTCTTAGACTAACAATAGAATAAGGATGGAATTATAACTATTGTTTGAAGCATTAAGAGATTACAGGGTGAGAACAGAACCGTTTAGGAGCATGACCTCTGAAAGGTGGAAACACAGTTAAGACAGACTTGATTAGTGAGAACATGTTGCTGCTTTAAATGAGTTCTACTCAGGTATAGTAAATTATGTTTCAGAGCCCACAAAAACTTCCACTTGTATTTGTGAGACACCTTGAAGTCATAAGAGCTGTAGAGTTGAGAAACTGCGGGTGCTGCTGTGATAATCAAAACTGAGAAAAGGGTGCCAGGAGTTGCAGATTCATTTATTTTCCATTGAACCCTCCCAAATCTAGAGTGGACTTTCAAGCATTTGGTTTGAGTCAGAAGCACTAATGCTGTGAGCCAGTATAAATTCACTAAGAATGTTTCTTTTTTGATAAATTTTGGTTACTGCTTACTAGGCAAAGAATGGTGAAGTTGAGGTTTATCTGGTTTAAATAGACATTTAACAGATTTTTCTGGGCAAATTTTGTGTCAGTAGGAAAATTAGGGTGGAAGTAAGTAAATCAGGCGGAGGGCTAAGTGAAACCTGTAATGGTAGTCTAAGGAATCTAAAGAGAAAAGCTCTACTGACACACACATGGATTGGATTGTACCTTGTACAGAATGAATGGCTTGACTGAGTATACAAGATCTACTTTGCACATAGTTAGATGATGTAGAGATAATTGGGCATACAGATGTCAATCAGGATTTTTAAGAATCTTAATAGAGTGAAACTGAGGTAGAGTCCAATAACGTAAAATTTAATAGTGATCTGTTTACAGTGATTTCTAGACAAATTTATTTAAAACCCAAATGTACAGAGTTGAGGAAACAGGAGTTTGTAGTAATAAACATTACTACAGTTAACTTTTTACAAGTGTTTTTTGTGTCTTCAAGTCTTGTGTACACAACACTAAGGTGTGCAAGACCATTCTTAAAAGGCACATTAGCATTTTATTTAATATAAAGTGTAAAATGCAGCCCTTTCCATTGTTGTATTTATTAGTAAACCATACTTTATTTGGGATAAATGTTCTTATGACTCCTTTGTTAGAAAGTGCTGTGAGAACTCTGATAAGAGGCCTACCAGATGTTTTATTTTAGGTTTATCTCCATCTCTGTAATGTTGTGACATGTGCTAATTCTCAATAGCAGTTTCCTCCTTTATGAAGTAGCAGGAAGTAATTCTTGGCCTTGTTGTCTAATGAATAAGTTTGAGTTAATTATAGATGATTTTCTATTAAAAAATCAGCAAATTATCAGACAATAAAGTTTTCTCTGGAGTTTTTCTTTTAAATATGGTGAGCTTGTACATTTTTTTAAGTTAACCTACTTTTAAAAAACACTTTGTGAGAGATTTCTTATTCTGAGGTTATCTTTTTAATACAGTTGCACAGTATCCTTTTGAAGACCATAATCCACCACAGCTAGAACTTATCAAACCCTTCTGTGAAGATCTTGACCAATGGCTAAGTGAAGATGACAATCATGTTGCAGCGATTCACTGTAAAGCTGGAAAGGGACGAACTGGTGTAATGATTTGTGCATATTTGTTACATCGGGGCAAATTTTTAAAGGCACAAGAAGCCCTAGATTTCTATGGGGAAGTAAGGACCAGAGATAAAAAGGTAAGTTAACTTTTCATGTTTTTTCATTTAGAGAGATTGCTTTTGAGGTAGATAACATAACTTTATCTGAATATTTTATGCTAGGTAATACTTTTGCAACCAAGAAGGTTCTCTTCCAGTTTGGCTTTTTTTTTTCTTTTTTCTTTTTAATTCATCTTAGTCCTGAGTAGTTAATATTGACTTCTAATTCCTATTATTTTTTCTCATATTTTATTTGTAATTTTTACATTTTTAAAAAGAATGCCAAAATACTGTATACTGTGATAGTTTACAAAACTGAAAATTCTGTTTAATTTTGGTGATTATAGATTATGGTAGATTGCTTTACATTTCTGTGTATTGTGTATAACCTGTAATGATAGTGCTGCAGTGAATTTCAGAGTGGAAGACCTGAGATATTTACTTTGTAATTATCCCTTCATCATCAAAAGAGATATAGTAGGTTTTTTTTTTTTTTAAAGACTTACACAAGAGACCTTTTGTAAGAAATATGTCATATAATGATTGGGTACTATTATTTAACTTTAATAACATGTGCTTATGGCATTATCTTTGAGTAGGGCAACTTTTAGGTTATCTTTGATAATCAGTTTTGGCTTTGCTGTTGATGAAAACAGGTTCTGAAAACCCTATGGAATCAATAGAAAGTAGGCTTGTATCAAGAAACAAGAATTTTCTTAAGATTCTTCAGATAAATTCATGTTGCATCATTTTCTTTGCTTTTAACCTTTACAAACAAGTTTTTATTTTAACCATTAATAGCAGTCAGAAATCTTGACTGTAGGATTTGTTTTCTGAGAGCCTGGGAACTGATGTGTGGCAAAGACCTTAATTGTTGCTCCCACACTTTGACCTCTTTGAGAAGTCCCTGATTTTAAGTCTTAGCTTTCATGAATTTGGCAACTTTCATAGCACATTATTTCATGACACTCCTTGGACAGTCTATGTCTCATTCAAGACTTGCTACTCATAAAGCAGTAAAATACTTTTGCAATTAATACTGAGATTTCTTCAGGAGAAATTTTTTTTGGACAAATGTTTACATCCCTCAAAATTACCTTGAAGGACTCCAAAATTGGAATTTGATGAAAAGTAGTATAAGTAAACTTGTGGTAGAAACTGAGATAAATTGAGAAGTCATATGTTAAAGGAAAGTGTAATATTTTAAATACCTATAACCTACTTTGTTGTTTTAGGGGAAAAAAAAGTCATCTTGTTTTTGTATAAAATTGTGATGGAGATACTGCAATAGCTGCCTGTTCTAATCTACAAATGTATTTGATCACATCTAAGCATTTGCTGTTTGTTTGGCACCACAGCCAATAGCCTTGTAGGTGTTTTCTCTAATTAAGACATTTGAGTTGATGGGAAAAATAAAAGTTTTTGTAATGGTCTAGCTAGCCTTCTAGCCTTTTTTAACTAAGTTAGATCTCACACACACTATCTTTCTTTCCTCACTTTTATACTCATCCACCCTTACATACATGTAGGTTGATTTTTTTGGATATATCTTCATCATCAAAATAGTTGACTATTTGTTTCAGGTAGTGAAAATTATCCATTAAGAAGTACTTGGAGTATTTATCCCACCATGTTGAGGGAGAAAGGTATTCAAGGGTATTAAAACTCTAGTTTGTTGTTTCCTTTTAACTTACATTTAAGAAAACTTACATAGTAGAGACATTAAGGACATATTTTAATTTGTCAGAGGGAAAATATTTTAGTCACCACAATCTAGTAATATTGTCAGTTCTGTTTCTCTCAAGAAGGAGAAAGATATTGGATAAAATGGTAAGCCTGAAAAGATTGTGAAGTAGGACCAAAGTTGAAAAGATGGCAAGAGATTCTGAAATCCAGTGTAAAACCTGTGGGGTCATGTAGTAGAATGAAATAGTACCTACATATCAGCAAAACTGCTCTTTCTAGACATAGCATATCCTCCATCCTCTTGTAGGTTGGGGTTTCTTCAAGTGAAAGGTGATGTGCTAACATAACAGTACACATAGAAAATTGAGTTCTTCTTTATATATTGTTAAGGTTGTATGTGAAAAACTATGCTTAGTTGTTATAGGATATGAAGACTCAAGAATGAGTTAATTTAACTAAAATTGGTCAATTTTAGCATTTTGGAGTCTGCATAAATCATTGAGATCTGCTGTGTTTAACGCATGACTAGTATACGTGGGCCATGTGTGGATGAATTGCATAGAGGTCCAATGAATATCCTAATTTGCCCTTTTGCCCTGTTTGTTTAGAAGAAAGGGAGGTGGGAATATGGAGGAAGGGGAGAGAGAGGTACATTGGTCTGTGGTAAAGGACTATGGGTATTTTGATGGTTGGGTGGAACATATATCTGAAGAGGTGAAATCCCCTATTTCTGAAAGCTCTACAGTGTGGCAAACCAATATTACCTCAACAAATTAAAAAAAGAGAGAGAAAACAAGAAGGAATTTATAAACAGAAGTTGTTGGTAAAGTTATCTGTTTGCATTTTAGGTAAAACAACATCGAAAAGTTCTAGATACAGTTGATAGAATTTTTTTTTTTAATATTTGCAGGAACATTTCTTATTTAGTTGATGACAAAACTGAGGCCCCAAAAGATGAAATGTTTTGATCAAATTTATCTAGTTAATGACAGCTTTTAGAGTAAAATTTGAGTCTTCTAATGTGCTGCTGGATTTATTTCTACACTATCAAGTCCACAAGTCTAGAACTGTGAAAGAATTTTGAAACCATTCATCATTAATCTCTGTAATGGTCAGATTCACCTGAAAAATCATGTAATATAAAGGAAATTGACCTGTTTAGATAAAGCTGCTCAGTTTATACCCCTTAAACAGATGCTAGGATATTTAAAGACCCCTGATTAAATAGCGTGAAAGCTTGAGGTGGTTGCTTTTATAAATAGAATACTGCATTCTCCATTAAATTATTTAAAATTTCATTGTCTAAAACCTTCAATTATATCACATTCACTTAATGGTTAGAGCTCTAGTGAAATGTATTTTAATCCTTTATTGAATATAGTTAATTTCATCATAAGAAAACTTAGCTCATCATGGCAGAGTTGTTGTTATACAACTGTTGAATTACATCATCCAAAGTAGTTTTATTCTTGAAACATTTGCTAATAGATTTCTCTTGTGAAATCTGTTTCATTTTAGATTGAATGTGTGAATTTCCATTTTTATAATTGTGAAGTGTTATAAGAGATACTACATTTTATCCATTTTTCACTATTGTAAGTTTCACTAGAACTGTTTTAATGTTTTGCTTACATTCTTAATTTTAATTATATAGAAAAATTAAGAAGCTGAAGATAATTTTGTTCTGGTGACATTTGTATAGGAGCAGAATGGTTCTTCTACTCTTCTCCTCCTCCTTTCCCTCCCATTTGTTTTGAGAAAAGAGGAGCCAGTTATCATGTTTTGGTGAAGAATTACAGACTATGCAGAAACTGCCCTAAAAGTAATCTGGAGAACCGTAACATTTCCTCAGCTGAGTTGGTACAAGTTAGATGACATGGTTGTTGCAAGCTCACCATGAAATATGCCATTGTGTTAGTAATGACTAAATAGTATTTTAGGTTTTGAATTTTGTAGGGAAATCAAGGTACAGTTGATCCTCTCTTATGAAGAAGAATGTTTTTTGACATGGCATAACTGCTTGAGAGAAGGCTCCTTTTCAATAATTTATAAGAAGGCAACAATGTTATACTACCGTAGGAGTCATTCTTTGCCTATGTAATCCTTTTACTTTATGAGCATATGGCATAATTGTCACAAAGCAAACTGTCTCTCCCATTTCCACTTCCCACCTATAAGAGCTTCATGCACCATAACTCCTAGGTTTGTTCTTTTCTAGACCTGTGTCTCAATGGTTCATGTCTATGTTTCAAAATTATAATCAATAACTTGCATTATTTATTGTACATTAAGTAAGATAAAACATTACACAAAATTTGTAAATATGTGTTTTGAAGTGCAAAAATTTCTGAATTTAAAGAGGCAAAGGAATCTAATTTAATCTTTGGGCATAATTTGAGCTTATAAATTCTTTTGTCTTTAAAGCAGTTAACTAGAAATAAAGGTCATATATTATGGTCAATATAAATAAGTTCATTAGCTTTATCTAATGAAGATTTAAATATTCTAGAAATAACAAAATGCTAACTGTATTCTAAGTGATCCCACATAGAGGGAATTTTCTAGTTTCTCTAGAAATGAATTTTTATGGCCTGATCATATTATCAGGTTATTTTTTTTCTAGTTTCTTTCTAATTTTCTCTTTTGATGATAACCTCTGTAGATGGGAAAAATAAGAGCTCAAAGATCTCATGATTGCCTTAAGATATAAATTTGTCAGTATTTGAGATATTGATAAAATTTAGTACAGCTAGGTATTTGAGAATCGGAGTCACATTTAGTTCCTGATTATTAGTAAAATAACTGTACACTGGGGCTGTTTTCTTAGCTTTGAAATAGAAATGATAGTATGTAGCATAAAAGTTGTGATAGTGTGAAGATATGTAATGTCTGACACAAATCTTAACTTGTTATATGTTGTCATTTGATTAATAATCAGTTCCAAATCATAAGTCTTCCTTTGTTGAATTTTCATGTAATCTTACTGTGATCATTGTGAATGGTAGATTTCAAAACAGGAAGCAAATTCTATTATGTTAAAACTGCACATTACTTCTGAGTTTAAAAGTATCAGTGAAAAGTTCACTTTTAAACTGAGGAATTTAGATTGTCAATTTATCATAACGAAGATGATCTGAGAGTATTGATGTTACAGAATATGAACAAACATACTTTGTGATCTGGTATCCAGGTAATTATTCTGGTAGTAGTATGGCAGTCTTCTACATTTGAAAGATGAATTCTTTCAAATCTATGTTTCAAAGATTCTACTTTTAAAAGTATTGTAACCAATACTTCTAAGTTTCTACTTTTTAAGAGATTATCATGTACAACAGATTCACGTGGAATAACTC